TTTTTTTTTTTGTTTTTTTTTTTCACAAGCAAATAAAAGATTGATCGTTGATTGATAGGTTATAGCTTTTTTCTCACTCTATTTTCATTCGAATTATACAATTGAAATATTAAAAGGCTTTGTTGTTGTTGTTGTTGTTGTATACAATTGAAATATTGAACAGGGCTGTTGCGGAGCACCTAAGCAAGGATCTTCCGTATAGCCTTTCGGAAGACGACATATTTCTAACTGCAGGCGCCAATCATGCAATCGAGGTCTTACTCACTGTCCTCGCTCGGCCGGGGGCCAACATATTACTTCCAAAACCGGGATACCCATTTTACGAAGCTAATGCTGGATTTAGCAATCTCGAGGTTCGACATTTTGACCTCCTTCCCGATAAAGGTTGGGAGATCGATCTGGAAGGCGTGGAAAAATTGGCAGATGATAACACCATTGCCATGGTCATCATCAACCCTGGGAACCCATGTGGGAATGTTTTCACAATCGAGCATATGCAGAAGGTACATTGGGCAAAAATTGCATTTTTGTGATGTGGGTTGAGATTAAAGACAGTTTTTATATTGCCATATTCATTTGAAGGGCCTGCTTTGTTTTAACAATCGAGCATTTTTGGTTTGTTTTGTGTTTTTTCTAAAAGATAGCAGAGACTGCTGAAAGGATAGGTGTTGTTCTGATTGCGGATGAAATTTATAATCATCTCGTTTATGGGTGTAACCAATTTGTATCTATGGGATCTATTGCCCCTGTTCTTACTCTGGGATCGATTTCTAAGAGATGGCTTGTGCCTGGTTTGAGACTTGGCTGGATTGCTGTTACCGATCCAAATGGGGTCCTCAAAAAATCGGGGGTGAATACTAAATACACACTTGTTCGGACAAAATTGATTTTTTGTTGACATTATAAGTCCACAAGGCTTACTAATGTGTTTTTTTTCGTTATCTATTCAGCTCGTGGAATGCATTCACAGCTATCTTAACGTCGCTGCTGATCCCGCAACTCCTATACAGGCATATATATAAATAATTAAAATACTATTACAAATAATTAAATTTTGCATCAAAGTAAAACACGAGTACATCTGCAGGGTGCTCTTCCTGAAATCCTGGAGAAGACGAGTAAGGATTTCTTCTTAAAAACCAATCGTACGCTACGAGAAGTCGTGGATGTTTGTTATGACAAACTTAGTGAGATTCCTGCACTGAAATGTCTGCACAAACCTGAAGGAGCTATGTCTACAATGGTGGGCCCTTTCAGTCGAACTCTAGAAAACATTCTTCTTATGTTATATGAGTTTGATTTGAAGTCCTTTATAAGTTCACGACTGCTCTTTAATTATGCAGGTTAAGATAAATCTCTCGTTGTTGGAGGATGTTGAAGATGACATGGATTTTGCTTTGAAGCTTGCTAGTGAAGAATCAGTTCTTGTTCTGCCAGGTTACACTAAAATGCTATAGAAGTTGAAATATTTTGTAAAGTTCACAGATTTATTTGAGCTTTGGTTTAGATACAAAAAAAAAGGCCTGTGAGGTTTAATTCTGTCATAGAATTGGAATTTTCGAAGGATAACTATAATATTTGTCAACGAACTCAAGAGCGTTTTTTTTTTTTTAATTGTTTTTAGCTATTGAATACAGAAATTAACAATGAAATCAAATTTTAAAATGGTTATGCAAATTTTGAAACAGGATCTGTCGTGGGACTAAAAAATTGGCTGCGCCTGAGTTTCGCGGTGGAGCTGACGAATCTCCAAGAAGGACTCGAGAGAATCGAATACTTCTGTTCGAGGCATTCAAAGAAGTAATTAAACTGTGCTTCTCAGTTCTCATTCTGGATAGCAAGAGCCAAGAACATATTTTCTTGAATGTTTATCGGACACATAAGCAAGCAACAACAGCTATTTTCATCTTTTGTGGCAAATTTTTGTTTGTCCCCACAAATGCTGCAAGAACCTTACAGCATCAACCTTTGTTGTTTAATGTTTATGCCGTAGTTTGTCAAGTGATTTGGGGTTCAAAAAGCTCCAACTTATATGCTTAAAACCTTGTCTGCCCTCCATTGAATGTCGTATCCTGAGTATAAAACGCGATATTTGTAAATCTGCAGAGTGATCATTGATGTAAGCTTGGTTTTCATCTATTCATTTGGACAATAAATTACTGCTCGTCCGAATCTATTTTCACCTCCGAAAGACTCATGAAAGAACTTCAACATTCCTCGAAAGATAATTGGAAGTTAAGGTGAAACTTCATACTAGACTCTCAAATATATGTATTAAAATCTTATTTATATTAACAAAAAAAAAAAAAAAAGATTATTGTGTCAACTACATGTAGGGGTGAGCAAAATCGAACTGCAGATGTTTCGGTGCGGTTCGATTCTCCGTCCGAAAGGTGCGGTTTTAACCGAACCGCACCACATATTGATGACCCGTTTATATCGATAAAAATAATATATTAACAAATTTATGTAATTTTTGATACCCAAAAAAAAAATAACTTTATTAATTTGTGTTCATCATATACTAAAATGTTAATTTATTCTAAAATTTAATGTCATATAATGTTATTATTAATATTTGTAATACTTAAAAGTATTATTCTTTATATATATATATATAGTAATAAATATTGATTGTACAATAATATTATTTACTAGGTCGCTTTCAGCTTCACAAATCCCTAGAGGGAAAGGGTTTGCGGCTTCTTCTCCGTCTTGGTAGCGACAGTTGTGCTGAGCGACGAAAAATACGAATGGAACTAGTACTTCACCCGCGCGTTGCGCGGCTTGATGTTAAAAATGACGTAGATGAAAATATTATTTATTATATTTTGAATTATTGTCTTAAGTATAATATTAGTAGTGGA